CGGTAGTGCTAAGCAAACAGTTAAATTTTAAAAGCGCGGTTATAAGATCTAACAGATCTTCTTGTTTCTATCGTTTCAGACTGCGACTTTGATAATTCAACTTTCTGTGGCTGGGAAAATGACAAATCGACAAGAGCGAAGTTTACCTGGGTCATATGGTCAGGGAGCACGCCAAGCGTAACTACAGGACCTCAATCGGATGTGTCAGGTAACCTTTCAGCAGTTATGAAAACTCGATCACTGGTATGACGCAACGTATGATAGTAAGATATTCCTCACAGTCATATTTCAACTAGGACAGTTGAATGCACGTAAAAATATTCAGACGTCGTTGACAAGTGCTTTTAAAATAAAACTTTTCAAATATAACTTGTGTTCTTTTCACTGCACTGAGTTTACACAGTTATAATGGTATAATAATTATATATTCCGGTAATCTCCATCTCACACGAATTGCATATATTCTCTGTAATTTTCGTGGGCACGTTTAATTAAAGTCTACTGAATAGACTGAATAGTATAAAGTGTAAATTATCATTTTAAAGGTTTTAAACCTTGTAGGATTCCATAGTTTAAGCTGATGCTATACGAACTATTGGTATCGTTATCACCTCGTGTGATCTTTAGTTAATGATAAAGCGATTATAACAATTCTTGTAAGCAGAGAAAAATAACATCTTTTTTTTCTATAGGCAATGGAAAGTATGCTTATATGGAAGCCACAGGTCGTCAACATGGCGACAACGTTAGGCTTATTAGTCCAGTAATGCAAGGTCCAAAGTGTTTTTCAATGATGTATCATATGTATGGCGCCCACATGGGAAGCTTAATAATCTACACGAAGATCAACAGCAGTGAAACAGTCGAGTGGATCAAAACGGGAAATCATCCCGACCAATGGTTGGAGGCTGCAGTATTCTTTAACTCATCTGTTGATTACCAGGTGATCGATTAGCTAAGGCTGCATCAGCTGAAGTGAAATTATTAATTTGAAAAAAAAAA